TTTTCAAATTGTTTTCCTTCACTGTTTGAGCGACTCGACACGAGTTCAGATATTTATAGGGAAGGAAACGGACTAACAACCTCCCTCTCTTACCTTATTCCCTTCGTCAACTGCAAATCTTTGTTCGAAGGGTTCTTGATCATTCAAGTCCTTTGGAGGTGGATCTTTGAGTGCTTGTTTGGACCATCTTTCTAGAGTGTACTTGTTGATAGCAAGGTAGAGTCGAATTGTTCCGGGTTCACTTTCAGTGTGTAAACAGCAGTATAGACCATCTGAAGTAAACTTGGTGAACAGGTGTCTTACTGTCAGCAAGGTGAGAGTTCTGGTTTGTAATAAACAACCAATCAGTCAGTTAATCAGTCAATCGATCGATCAATCAATCAATCAATCAATCAATCAATCAATCAATCAGTCAGTCAATCAATCAGTCAACCAATCTGCCTGTCTGACTTTCTGTCAGTCATCTAGCCTTCCCATTTTCCTTTCACTCAGCTGGTGCGCAACATTTTTTCCAAGGTATAAGTTTTACCTGTGTGCTCCCATCAGAAGACTCCTGTCTGACCCATGGGGATCAAGTCCTGACTTGAGGTGCCACACGTCAACTCCAGTCTCAACAAACACTGATACAAACTCACTATCTTCAGAGAAACATGGGCAGGTACCACAAGCTGCGAAAGAATATCGAGACAAATTAAACATCACTGGAAGGAATTACTTATCACGATTTTGCCTGTGCTGCAAATATTGTTAGGGTTTTTACTTTGGGTATAGAACAAATAAGAAACAAAATTCCCTTTCATTACAAACTCTTCGGTCTTTGAGCATTTTTAACTCGTTAAGATGCTAATAGCACCTCGCAATTTAATTTGTTGTTTAAGTTCTGTGTTTATGATTGTTGTATAGCTACACTACGAGAAGAGAGTAGGCCTTCTTGTACTGTACTTGTATTACCGGATTAGCAGGTTATCGTCTTACCTCCAGTCATAGAAACTGGGTATAAGCGATACAACCTCTGGACTGGCTGCTGAGCTTGCCACACCCATGTTTCATGTGCAGAGCAACTAACTGCTAATTTGTCATCGCTTGAAAACGTGCACTCTTGAACTGGACCACT